CCGATAAGAGTTCTCTTTTATTAAATACATCATGTATATATTCATATTATTATCAGCATATATGTATGTGCAAATATTGTAGTGAAATTGAAATTTGCATTATATTTTCATTTAAATTTAAACCCATTTTATGTGAGTTTTATAGAAATTATCATTTTTCTAATGAAGCTTCAATTCATTATAATATAATGCCATTGTAATAAGATAAAGTTGAATTCAATTAAAGATAAATTTCTTAGTATTTTTATTTTATAATAATAGTAAAATAAATAAGTATATGTATTCTCTGCCTTCATTCGCTCCTTTGGCTACGCGTCCTCCTTCTGTTTTGCTGTTATATGACAATGTTTTCAGTTTATGCTATAAGAATGTTATTTTGAAAATCTCTTGTCTTATTATTGTACTATTTTAAATTAAAATTATTCTTAAATAATAATTTAATAACATAATTTTGTATTATTCATAAATTCGAAGAGTTATGAATAATACAAAATTATATTTATTAATATAATATACAATATCATAATCATTATTTACATATTTTCACTAAAAAAATGTTAGATTTCTTTTCTCTATCCCTAAATTTTCACGTTTACACGATATAATTTTCATAAATTTATTATAACTAAAATCAAATATGACATAAACGACATTTACAAGACAATTCTACTTCATTATTATATTTAAAAATACACTTTCATTATAATGATGTACACCTCTCAATTGCAGTTATATAAATTTTTCTATATTTCTGTTCAAGTAAAATAAAGTAAGTATGCGACATCATAAATCTATTTCCGTTTTTTAAGTATTTATCATTAAAAAAGAAGAATTTTTCATTCATATTATGATTATATTTAATTTTTCTGCCCTTTGTACGAAAACGTATCTTTTATACAAATAAATATATCTATGTTAATATACATACATATGTGAATCTAAATACCGAGAGGGCTTATGGAAAAAACTCTTTATCTCAACGACGAAAATATTTAAAATAATTTGGAAAAGAATCGAAAATATTCATTACTATAATCTATATAAATATTTATTCTAAAAATAGTGATTATAGATTAGGAATGTTCAAGAAAGATTTTATTTAATTTTGCAAAATATTACAGTAAAATTACTAGTATAATATGAATTTGGTAGATCTTCTTTTATTAACTAAAAATTATTTTAAAATTTTTTTCTCTTATGTTGGATGAAAGGGTTTTCGCCATAAGCCCTCGATGTACGTATGTATAAAATTTAAAGCACATTTAGCTAAGTTATGAATTATATAAGAAGGGCGTAATAATATCTATATAGTTACATAGGCACATTCTCATTTTCTTTTGAAAAATTTTTTACCATAAAAAGATTTTTAATATTACTTTTTTTTAAATCACAAAAGAAAAAATCAATCTTCTTCTTTTCCCTGTTGATTCATTATTTGGAATTCACTTTTGAATGTCTATATTTAAAAAGAAAAAGAAAAAAAAACATTCTCGTATAGAACAAGATAAAAAAGTTCAACTAATTTTTCTTCTTTTAAAAATTCTAATTTTGAAATAAGAAAAAATTTTTTTTTTCTAATTTAAATGTGAACAAACCTTGTATAGTTTTGTGTGTATAAGCAAAAAATAAAAAAATATTAAAGCCAAAAAATAAAAAAAAAAATTATGTATAAGGTTATAAAAAATTTTTAATTTCAAAAAATAAAATAAAAAATATTTCATTTTTGAGAAAAAAAGCAACATAACATTGCAATAACAAAACTTACTATAAGAACAAAATAATTTGAGGTTTTCTATTGAGAAGAACCATATGAAAAATTAAAAACAAAAAGAAAAAACAGCAATAATAATAAAAATAATAAAAAGTTTTCAAGGCCTTGCCTCATTCCATTTAATTTCAAATTTGGCTAGAAATCATTCTTATTCTATATGTAGATATTACACGTATATATATTGTGCCTTAGCCTCTTTTGTTTTTTCTGCTTAATTTTTAAAAAATTATTTTAACCTTAATAACTTCTACTTAATAATCAAATTTTATGGTAGAGTTAATAAATATTATAAATTAATTTTATTAATATTATGATTTTAAGAGCAAGTTTGAGATATTTTGTTAATTTTATTGTTTGTTAAGTACCGACAATTTAACTTTGAACTTGGAATTTGATTTTTCATTCAATTAATTGTTGAGGAATAATTAAAGGTTGAAGAGATTAAACAAAAATTGTTGCGATATGGGTTCCGGCTTTCCGAATTTAGTATTGATTGAATAATGTAAATTTGATTAATAAAAAGGTTTTTAAATGTAATTAATTTTTTTTCACATTATTTTTTAAAATATTTTAACCAATTATGTTTCTCATTAATAAATATTGAAATTATCGATCCTAATTAGCTAATTTAACTGATATATAGTACCAAAAAACGAATTACCTATTGACGGATTCGGTCTTCTAAATGCTGATACGAGTAACCGAGTAGTGCTCACAATAAATTCTTAAATTCGAATTTTGGTAGCATAGCAGCAGATTGATACTTGAAATTATATACAAATATATGTTATTTGTTTTCCCGGAATTTATATAGAGTATTTATTATATACATGTATAGGATATTGTTATGTATAGGGATTTATTATTTTAGTTTTTAGTTTATATTTAGCTTTTTATACTATTTATTTTCTTGATGGGAATACAAAAGTCAATTAATCTTGGCAAATATTACACATACGAGCAATATATATTAGACATACAAAATTAAATTTAAACAAAAAATTTGAAATCATATTTTATTTTTTGACAAATTTATTTTATTAACTTGTTCCTAAATTAATAATACATGTGCAAACTTTCCTAAAATAAAAATCATTAAAAAAATTTAAGATGATTTATGGGTGCGTATATCAAAATTTTTTTCATTTAATTAGATATTTTATTTAAGTGGACGTTAAATGTGGCACAAATATGGTTAGCTAACTAACGTATTTATACATAGATATGAATATATGGTACACTTGAACTAAATAAGGGTCTTGATAGCCTAAGGTTGTTTTGAATTGATTGATTAATATTATTATTTATCTTTGAAAAAAATATAAGATTCTTGAGATAAGATTCAATTTTTTTTGGATTTCTTATAATCCATCATTTAAGCAAATTGATATTAATTATGTTTTTTATTATAATGACTATGATCACCTGTAATATTTTTGTAAAAAATTTTTTATATTATACATGGCATCAAGTTAAATGAATTATTTGCAATAAGATCACATTTCTTGGTAATCTTTATTGTGTCTAAAATTTATATTCTATTAAATTAATTGTTTAAATAATTAAAACACATACTACAACTCGTCATAGTGCGAATGATAATCTTAATTGTTTTTCAAAAATACTTTGAAATTGCTTAACGTACCTTAATAAATTATTTTGATGTTAAAAACAACATAGTTTTCTAAAATAAAATTCTTATATATGGTTTATATTCCGAGAAATCTTTATTTGTAAAACATGAGAAAGTTGAAAAATTTGTATGTATAGCTATATATGTATATGCATGTATATGTTGTTGTTACGAGTATATTATAAAAAGTTAAAGAATTCTATAAATTTTCTGTTTTTGTTATGTTCGCCTTTAGCAGTTTAAAATTAAATTTTCGGGTTTTATTTTTTGAAATCAAAAGAATTTTTTTTTGAAACACAAAGTTCATAAAGCAAAATTCGAACATTTTAATATTAACGTAGAGCACTTCAATGATCCGCTGCTTAAAGGATTTTCATCATCCTGCACCCATTAATACTTTTATATGTTGGGAATGCTTTCATTATCCTTTATTTAGAAAAACATCTTAATTTTACATTAAATCAATGATTATACTTAAAATACAATTTTATTTTATTTATTTTTTTTTAAAGAACAAAAATGGTTTTAGTTCATTTAATGTAAAATGAATCAAGGAACAGCTTAATTCCTCTAGTATATTTAGAAATGAATCTTTTAATACATGTACATGTATAAGTATATAATTAGTAATTTGAGCGAATGTGTATGATTTGAGTGAATGTTATTGAATCACCAGAATAATATGATCTAAAAAATTATTGAAAGTTCTGAATTATTGAAGTCACATACTTTTGAGAAAGATAAATATTGGACATACTATTCGGATACAATATGTTTGTACTTACATAATTTAACAATGTTGTTTAGTATATAGAGCAATGTATAATTGAATTACATACTTCCCGACCTATTAAACAATTTTTATCTATTTTTTTAATTCTCTAGAATGTACGTATATATATAACTATAATTATTAAAGATATATTTTAAAGGACAGCGAATTAGTTCTCATATTCTAAATCTATGACAAAATAAATAATTAATATATGATAGATATTTATTGAATTTTATAAGTTGTACGGCTATGTGCAAACAATTATTATGTGATTTTTTAAACAACAAAAGAAAACTTTTATATTCTAGCACGACTAAATTAAAATCAGAAATGAATAATTATAAGAAAAGAAAAAATTAACAAAAAATGTTTCCATCAGTAAAGCTTGACTATTGGGCGTTCGAGACTCGACATATTTCTTCCCAAGCGAGGTGATAGAATACATGCAGATGAATGAAAAACATCCAATGACATTTTGCTTTGCGGACTCTCCTTCTAGAGCTATGAGGCCTCAAAGTTTCAATTTCAGAAAACTTGTTAATTTTTTTGCATTTTTAGTGATAATGGGTCCTCAAAAAACAAAATGTCACCTAGTGTTTCTTGTTCGTTTACAGGCATTCTATCACCCTGTTACGAAGGTACAGTCAACGGTCGAACACCCTGTATGTATTGCAGAAATTATTTTCAATTTAAACTACATACTTATAAATTTATAATTCTTATTGCATACTACATTTAAATTAAAAACAAATATTAGTATTTATAAAATTTTATAAATTTTTCATTTTATTTATTCATTTTTATATTTTTCTTCCCCTCAGAATCTATTACGCTTAAGGATAACCGTCCTCCCAGTGCAGAAAAAAGACGTAAGTTTAGAAAAAAAAAATATAATAAAATTTCACTTTTCATTTTTTATTTATTTTTATTTTAAAGTTATAAACTTTTTTATTTTTTTTACTTTTAAGTATCATAGGTACTCGTATAATCATAAAGAGAGAAACGACTTATAAATTCATTTTATTATAATTAAAAATGTGAATTAATAAAATGGCTCATATAAACCTAGTTATTTTATACTATTTTGTTCATATGGACACTATAGAATTAAATAAAGCTCACATTCAACTCTCACAAATATACACAAAAATACACAATTTTAATATTTATTTCTATATACACAATTATAAACAATTTAAATTTTTTTCATTTCTTTTTATGATTTGAGGTACCAAACTTTCATTATATATACACGCAATATGATTGCACAAACATACATTGTATTTAATGTATTTAATTTATGTTAGATTTCTTGCACTAAATGCATACACTATAAGTTCAACGCACATATACTCTTAGTTTGAGATTTAATATTTTTAATTACAAAATACATATTATGTAGTTCTACAAACAGTAAATGTATATATATGTAATAAGTGATTATATTATAGTATATACTCATATACTTATAGAAAGAAATAATATTTAAATATTATAATTATTGGAACATAAGACGCTATATGTACTAGCAAAAATTGTTTCTTCGACATTTTAATTTTTAAATTTTATTTTCTATACCCAAAGAAAAAAATAAAATAATTAAAATAGTTTTTTAAATAATAAAAGCCATTGTCTCTTGTATTTTTTTATTAACGCCAAAAAGCATAACAAGAGCTTCTAAATTTTATTTTATTAAAACCTTTTCACGCATTTTCTTCCATAGGAACTGTTCCAATTTCTAATCTTTATTTAGGTAAAATAGCTATATTTTTTATTCCTTTTTTTGGGTAAAAAATCTGAAAGAGAAAAATCTGATAGGGGTTAATGTGTAAGTTCTTGTAATTTACTGTTGTAATTTACTGGGCAGAAGTTCTTGCAGAACTTTTTCGTGGTAGTTTCCAATATAGATATGATTTTTCGTTAATTTTTTTGTAAGTAGTTACTTACCTATAACTAGGGTTGTGTAATTATAAATTATTTTCAGTTTGGATAATTATTTCCAGTTTCAGTTTAAAAATTTCCAATAAAGACAGACATTTTTAATAACAACCATAAGTTAAATTCGAACTATTAATTCTAGTTTTTATATAGCGAGCTTGATATGCTAATTTTATGACTTTACATACGTTGTGCTTTTTAGGGTTAAATGACAAATCATTTGTTATTATATATTGATAATTGTAGGTATATTATTAGAATATGTAAATATTTACAAAATTTCGATTAAAATCTAAAATGCATTTACGTAAAAAGCGAAAAAGAACTGAAAACTCATTAATATTATTTTAACAGCCTAATATCAAACTCTTAAAAACATGGAAAAAATGCTTGAGTATCTGTTGTGTTCTCTAAAAGTAAAAAATTTTGGGAAATTCTTGTGACAATTAAGAATTCCAAAATCTAACTATTTAGTTGATAATTATTTTCTTCGGTAAATAATTAATACACATGTATATACTAGACTTCTTTCAATTAGATTTTCATAAATTTAATGCTAATTTATGCTAAAATAGTTTGATAATTATTCTTGAAAAGTTGTAAAGATTTCAATACTGTTATCAAAAATTTAGACTAGTGATCTCTAGAGTATAGGTGCGAGTATGTTATATGTCAAAAATACTAATACAATTATTAAAAAAATTTTTCACGATACATACATACATACATAGATTTTAATATCATACTTTATAAAACAAATTCAAATATCTGATTTTAAAATGTTCAATGAAATTTAAAATTAATTATTGATATTTTTAATGCACTTTTGATACCAAAAATAGTTGTGATAAAAAGTTAGGAGATTAATTAAATTTTTTTCAATTTGATAAAACTTTTAGTGCTTTTGGGGCATTTAAAACAGTTCTGAACAGATCCATTGAATTTATTTTTTAATTATTAATTAGAACTGCAATATTACAAAGAATTTTAATATTGACTAACTTCTTGATTATATAATTCTCTCTTTGTATATTTCGAGAGAATTTTGTTCCAAGAAAATTTTATTTTAATTTTGCAAAAGTAAATAAAAATAGCGTTTACAAACTTTAAAATATTGAATTCAATTCAACAATAATACATTTCTGTAAAAATTTTCAGAAATATTTATAAAATTAAAAAAAAAATTAAAATCCTTTTTAAATGCAATAACAATTAAATTTAAAACAAAATTTAAGAAAATTTCAAAACTTTCATGAAAACTAAATATTATCTATGTATATGATATTATTCAGCAAGCATGGAAGATGAAAATAATTCAACAATTCATTGGTTTGCACAAACGGGGGGCGATTCAGGGTCTAATGAAGGTACCACAATATAAGAACTAAATTGTATAATAGCTTCTAATATATGTATATATATTAATATACTTTGCATGATGTTCGTAAATAATCAAAATTAAAAGTAAAACGAAATAAGGAAAATACAATTTTAAAATAATTGTTTTCTTAATTTCTGAATACTGATATTTTTTTTTGCTTGAATGAATAAAAATAAACTTTAAAACATTTTTAAAATGGTTAATACCATAACCAGCAGATCAAAATAACTAATGTGTGTGTACTTAACTAAAAAATTAATTCATATGATCAATTTTGCCTTTCAATATTTCAAAAAAAATAATTATAAAATACCATATATAAAATTCATAATGCTTAGCTATGTGTGAAATATTGTAATTATTTTTGGATTGCTTGCAATTTACCATTGTGTGCACATTAATAAATTAATTTAAATTAATATATATAAGTATATAAATATAACGTATATATGAAAATGTTTAAAATTAATCAACAATAAAGTTAAAAACAAGTTAAAATGTTATTGACTTCAGGGATATTTTTTTACATAATGTAGTTAAATTTAAACTAGACCTTGAACTACTTATGCAATTTAAAATTGCATTCTAAATATTATTATAATTTTAATCATTATATAAGTAATAATTATTTTTTAGAAATAATTATTTCAAGAACTCCTATACCAGTTTTTGTACAATTTTCCAGCAATCTGATCTTTAAAAAAATGGGATTGACTCTTGCCATCTTATATTCCATTCTCGCAATTCAATTTTAAGTTTTATTGCTATAAAATTCAAATCAAACTTTAAATTAAAATATAAAAATAAATTTCTTTTTCATTTAAATTATTTAATATAAGCACTCTAATAGCGATTAAAAAATTTTCATTAAAAATTTTACTTCTTGTATGAATAAAAAATTTTGGAATACGAGTATTTTTGTGAAAACTGCAATCAAAATTCTTTTGTTTTTCAATAGCGACAAATTTTGTAATATTAGTTTTAAATAGCTATTTTACTTCAACATTTACAAAAATTATCATCAATTTAAATATTTTACCTATAAATTTAAACATTTTACCTTTAATTTTAATTTAAAAACGTTATAATTTATGCAGAAGCGCATGTTATATGACGAAGACTGATTTTATGTACTTACATACTCCAACTTATTTGTATTAAAATACCTATGTATTTCAAACGTTCAAGTATAATAAATATTCTGATAACATTAAGCTTAAATATGTACATATTCATCGGTCTAAAATTCTACATGTAGATTACAGATCAAGTCTCTCCAATTGAATAATTTAATAATATGGTGTTTCTAATTTACATGAAATCAAATCTTTTTCTTATTATTTTGTTAACGATCATTAAGGTCAAAATATTATGAGTAATAATTAGTCACTATGCTTTATTTGTATTTGTTCTTTTAAATGGATTTTTTTGTTTTGTGAAAATCAAATCATAATATTTGCAATATGATAAGAAAAACAAAAACAAAGTAATAATTTAAAATAGAACACCAGATTAATGTGTAAATACTCATGAAGATACAATGACTGTGTTAACTAAGAGAGTAAAATTGTTTTTGACTTAAATTTGACTTTAAATTTTTTTCTTTAATTGGCTTCATATAATACGAGGTCGTAATTAATGTTAAATTATTAAGAATTGCTCTTGATTCACTGCTAATTCTATTTGTTAAAATCAAATTTTGATAAGACATACAATGATCCCCTGAATATATGCAATTTTTTGTTAATCTTAAATAATAGTGTTATGCATACAACATATGGGTATATGTACATATAATAAACATTTATGTGATCAAGGTAAAAAATATAAATTTAATATTGGGTTCAATGAGTTTTTAATGCAAAAAATGTTAATAACCTCACAACTACTACATGTTTCTTATTTCTATTACTCTTCACTTCATAACTTTCTTTTTAAATAGATACAAAACAAACAATTAACCACCAATATTTTTCATTTTCTTTAAAACATATACATACATGTTTTTTTTTTGATTAAATTTTTTTTTTGTTTTATGTCAGTGTAATAAAATTTTTTATTTTTAATTTAATTTCATTAACATTTTGTTTTATGTTTATTTTGATTAATAATTACTAACTATAATAAGTAATTCAATTTCTTTTTTTTTTTGTATTTTAATTGAAATATTTTTTTTTTTGTAATTATTTCAAATGAAAATTTCAAAATGATAGTAGCCGATCGAAATCGGGAGGAAAAATTACGGATAGCTAAAGAACGACAAAATGAAGAAAGACAACGAAAAATTGAAGAATTAAAAGCTCAAGCCGAAGCAGCACAACGTTTTCGTGAACAAAAGGAAGAAGAAAGACGCCGTCGTATTGAAGAATTAAGGAATCGTGACAATGAAAAACGCCACCAAGTTGAAGAACGAAAACGTGCAATAATGGAAGCTGAAAAAGAACGAAGAGAATACATAATGAGGAAAAATTTAGTATGATTTTGTTTTAAATATAATTTTATAACAAAATATAATAATTTAAATCTCAATTAAATATTATATTATGTTAATGATTTATTAATTAATTTAATTAAAATTTTTATATTTTTTGTGTTATTTTAGGAACGTTCAGCACGTTTAGAAACAAAAAAACGAAACGAAAAAAGTTCAATTGTATTTGCATTTGGTTCATCAACACCAAGATTATTAGATCCAGCAGATATGCTATCGGTTTCAAATGCAACATATTGGGGGAATAGAAGGTACACCTATTATGAATAACCTAAAATTAGAAATATTTTGAGTGACTTATTGGAAATGAATGATATAAAGAAATAACTTGACCGAATATCAAATTTTTTTATCATCCGTAATGTGAAATTGAAATAATAAGGAATTTTTTTTTGGGTCCATGTTGTTAAAAAGTTAATATTGTATAAATTTAATATTATAATAACCTATACAACTTTACCAATCCTGTGGAAATTTCCAAATTCGCATAGTTTTGTCTCAGATTCTAAGATTTATGTATTTGTAATGATTGTATTCGTTAAACCAAATATTTAAGAATCTCTCATGCATCTCTTTTACAAAACAATTCATCAAATTCACAAACTAATGAGCTGACGATCTACAAAAAAACTAAATATCTATTTGCATATTCAAATTTTTGTATGTGGTATATTAGTAATACTTTTTAATTAAAAGCTCTATATTAACTTAGTACATAATATATTCTATCAAATTAAATAAAAATATTGTGTACTACAAATGATTCAATTAATTTTTATTAGTTTGTATTAGTTTGTGTGCTCAGCCATTATATATTGTAGAATTAATTTTCCAATTAAATGACGTACTCCATGAATTGATATTAATTAAATTCAATAATTCAATTCTGTTTTTGGTTTTTTTTTTGTAAAAAATCCCAAGTTTTCACATAGGTGATTTCTTAATACCAAATACGAATATGAAATTTTTTATATTATCTTATTTAAATTACAAAATGAATGAATGAATAATTTATAAATAAATAATCGATAAAAATAATGAAATAATTCAGCCATTTTTATATGTGAACGTTTTGCACTATCAAAATATTTTGTGCTAGCAAAATTATGTTTTATACTAATTTAATGAAAATGATATTAAGCAAAAATATCAAATATTGTACCTCCAAAAATGAAAGTTATTTTAAACTATGTTTACATTTTAGGTCAACATCAATATCAAATGTGGCTTATTCTGGTCCAACATTATCAAGAAGAAGTTCAGAACGTGAATTATCTGATGGGTCTAAAAAACGCGCAACATCAGCTGGTGGTATAGATAGACATAATGATGGTAAAATATTTTTTTTTAATTTGTACTATTGCTATTCTTGCGTATACTTTTAAAAGTTATTAAGTTATTTTTCTTTTAAGTTACAAAAGTAATTTTATACCTTTTAAGGTAAAACGTTTTTCCGACAATTTCATACTAAAAGCGTAAAATATTAATTTTTAAAATAAAAAAGCAAAATATTTTATTTAGCACTTACTGAATTTTTTTGAATTAAATAAATTTCGGAAAAAAGTCAAAGTAGTTTCCATTAGCTTTCGTTAATTTTTATCGAATTGTGTTTTCACTTTTTATATTTTTGCTTACAATAATAAATATTTTAATTGTCGTATCAACGTTTTTATTCATTTTTTATTAATTTACAATTATTTCAATTTCCTAAAGATAAAATGGATTTTGATTTTTATTATATTTTTTTCTTAATTGTTATTAAGTTCAAATTCAAAGCCTTTTCTTATTATTTGAAACAAAAAAAAAGAAAAAAATTTATAAATGTTAGCAGTTTTCCTTATTTTGTTTTTACTACCCTTCTTCTTTTACTACAAAATGAGTGTTTACACATATCCACAATGTTTCCACTTAAAATTTTTCAATTATAATTTTAATAATAAAAATATTTTTTTTTATTACGAATAAAATTTTAATTTAGGATTTAAATTTTGAATATAAGGATTACAAAAAAGCAATATATTTTTTTTTATATACATACATATATATTTCCAATTAAACATAAATAAAAAACCAAAAAAAACAAATGTTATAAATTGTTAAAACACAGACAACAAAAAAAAAAATTATTATTTACTTTTAATAGCATTACATCGTAATAAGTCAGGTTCAATGTATGAAGTATTCAATTGGGGTTTCTGTAATGATGAACCCCCAAAACGTTATTCATTATCAATTATTGGAAATGAAATTGATATTGATGGACCTTGTAATACAATACAACATACAAAAGGTTAGCTTGAGGGTTATTAAAATTTCTACTCTAAAAAAAATTTATATATAATAAACATAATATTTTTGAAATAAAGAAAAATCATATTAATTATTATTTTATTTCTTGTAATATCAAATCATCTTTTATTGATTTTTTTTTGTTTATTTAATTAATTTTATTTAACAGTAATTTTTTTGTTAGTTATACGATAATATTAAAAAAGAAAAATTTTAACTATTTTTTTAATTAATCTTCAAAATGATTTTAATTTTAAAAATTGTAAATGAATTTATTCTGGTCTATCTTGCTGTTTTGATTTTTTGACCCTACTTTAGTAACAAAACATGTATTTCTTTTTATTTTTTATACTTATTTTTACAAAAAAATACTCTAAAATAAGGAACTTATTCTAATTCATATTAATAAGTACTCATCGTAAAATACTCTTAATTTTCTAATTATTTTGGATGTTCTTATGCATTTCATATTAGAATATTTCAATAAATCATGCAATATTTCTATCGCCATCATATTTTTGTTAAATATTTAATAGTAATAATAAATATTTAAAATTTATTTTTTGATTTCATAGCAGAATTTCAAATCAATTTTACTTTTCCTAATACAGTTTAATAAGCATTAAAATTTTGCATAAATAAAATTCTGGAATTTGTATCAATAAATTTTATTCAATCTACCATTCAATTTCAAGTGCTTTTCCAAAAATTTTTGAAAAAAAGTGTGTCTGTTTTGCAAAACTTTTATACCTTTTGAGATAAAAAGTTGAAATTAAGGAATACATAGATAGATCTTTAAACTGTTTTTAGTAGAAGAAGGTTTTTACCTATCATTTATTTACGTCAGCTCACGAAATTAATAATTCGACCATTATGTGAACGCCTTTTTAAAATTTTTTTTGTCTCATTCTAAATGTATGTAATCATTTAAAATATATTTGTATATGAATGAAAGCAGTTTAAATAATGTTACTTTTTTTTTTTTCAAAAGCAGCATTTTCACTTGTTGAAAGGAAAAGTGCTACTTTACAAGAAATTGATTTGATCCAAGTTTATTAACTTTGGAGTTACAAGGTGTTCAAAAATTCAAGTTTTCTATATTCAAAATAGATTAATTTTTAAAGTTTAATCATTTTAAAGATAAATTAATTTAAAAATAATATAATATTATCGTAATTACTAAATAATATTTTATTTTTATAAAAAAATATTTTTGCTTTTATAATATTTTTCTAAATTAAAATAAAAACACAAATTAAAGATTTTAATTGTGATGCGATGTAATGAATATATACATACATATAATGCTTCAGAGAGAGATATTATAATTAAATGCATGTTGATAGAGTGCATTTGAAAAAAAAAATAATTTTTAAAAAAATTTTTTTGTAGAATTACAGTTAACACACAAATTTATGAGGAATTTTTTTTTAATTTTTTAAGTTTTCTTGAAATTTTTTTTTTGAGTCTTATTTAACTCATTATTCATAGTCATTGAAAAAAGAAATATACATTTTAATTTAGATTTTATTGTTTGTTTAAAATTAAATTTTTAATGTTAATATCTTGAAAACAGTACTTATATTAAGATTCTTATGCAAGAATTTCAAGTATTCGAGTAAATTTTTAGTCTCAACCTAAAATAAATATTATTTAATATATTTAACATAGCAATTTTTTTTTCAATTTTATATTCGACTTCCTATCGAATAATTTTTTAATTTTCCCCCTTTTTGATTATTCTTAAAATATTTTGTGATATTTATTAATTTAAGTATAAAATTTTCTAAAATTGTTAAGATCTCAGAAACTATTGAATATTATTAGAAAATTAAAAACTGAAAGTAGCTTCTGAAGTAAAGAAATTTTTCTTATTGTTCCAATTGAAAACACCTACTAATCCTATAAAATTGTAATGTTAAAATAAATTTATAAGACGTATAGGCTCTGTATCAATTGTACAAGCTCTTTATAAATACTTTTAGTAAAAAATTTAATTATTTTGCAAAATATTATGAAGTTAACACAACCTTTTACATATACATATAAACAAATTAAATATCCGTATTTAGTGATCAATAAGTAAAATAATCCTCAAGAAATTTGAATTTTTTAACATTTTTTAAGCACAAAATGGCGTAGAATTTTGTTTTTAATACAAAATTGTTTTAGTGTTGTGTAATAACATATTGATATTTTTTCTATAATTTAATTAATTTTTTGTGTTCTAATTTTATTTTTTTCCCAAATTAAAAGTACTAAATTTTTTTTTTTTATATAATTTTATTATTAGGAAATAAACAAAAATTTTTCATTTCCACTTGTATATGTAAATCTATAACAGGAAACAGTTTCCTTTTTTTTTGTAACTAGTTTTTTTTTTAATTTTTGTTTTAATTAATTTTAATATTTTAAGATTGATTTTTTCGAAGAGTGATTTTAGAATAGCTTTTTTTTTAAATTTTTTTTTTAGCACAATTGAAATTTATAGAAACAAATTTACATATTTAATTTGAATACTTTAGTTTCAATGATCAGTGCATTATTTAATTTTTTTGGCATGATTTTAATACGCTTAGAATTTATTTTCTAAAAACAGTGTGCTTTTAGTTTAATATTATTAAATTTTTATAGCTTTATTTCGATTAAGTGTCCTTTGACATTTTTCGAAGTGAATATTTCACTTAAAATTTTCGATGAATATTAAGGATTCTATGATATTAATTTGTCGATAATAATATGTATTATATTAATTAAAGTAAATCAGTTAGCCTTAATTATAATTTTTAATATGTTTATTAAAATTAAGTAAGCGTAAATATTTATTAAAATTTACAAATTAAAACATAAATTTTAGCAGTTTTTTTTACGTTAACCAAATTTCTAGAATTCCCAGAAAAATAAAGTTGACGGCTGTTTAAACAGCTTCCAAGAAGAGAAACAAATAAAGCTTTAATAGAATCAATAAAATATTTTACATCAATAAGTTAAAATATTTCAATAAAAATCTTATTTATTACATGATATACTGTTTTTAAATATTAAAGCACTTTTCTCAATTCTTCTTATTTATAATTATTTATTTAACAAAATTTCTCATAAATTTCAATACGAAGATTTGAAAATTAAAAATTTCGAGGAGTATCAGGTCAGATTGTCATTTAGGTACTACGATAAATTACTTTTTCTAGATATTAGGTTTATTCTAGCAAATAAATTTAATGTTAGTTTTAATTTAAATTAAATTATATCATAGAATCTATAACAAAAACTTAATATAAAAGTGAACTATTTTAATTACTATATTTAAACAATATTATATATTTATTTCTTGTTTTTTTTTGATATTATGACATTATTTATTTAAATATTTATTTTTTTAAACAACATTTTTTCTTAATTCACAGTAAATTTTAATATATACATATATAATTTTCTTTTCTTTTTTTTTTTATTTCTTCAATATTTTATTTTATTGTTTTTGCGTTGTTGCTCACCACAAACAAAAAAAAATATTTATAATACGTTCATTTATGAAAAAAAAACCATATTATAAATATTTTGTTTTTCATCATTCTTCAACCAATTTTAAATTGATAAAATATTCTTGCACATATTCAAATATGAACAATATGTTTTAATTATTGAAAAAATTAATAAATATGGGGAATATATTTAAATAATACAAAAAAAAAAAACATCGAATATAAAATATATACAAATTAAAATAAAAACTTATACGATATAAAAACTTGATTACTAAATATCAGAGGAAACAACTGATTCACCTGCACTAATGTATCGTTCTGTTGCGAGAAGAAAAACTGATTTAATGCCTACTATACCAATGCCAAGAGAGCCAAATTTTGGGTCTAAATCTTCTCTTAGTCATACGCCCAGAACGCCAGGTAAGAAAAAAAACCATTGAATGCAATTTGTATTGCAAAAAGAAAAATGGTTACTTGTTTTTTTTTTGTTTTTGTTTTTTTTTTTCCTATTCAGTACTCAAATTATTTTTTAATTTTAATTTTTTTTTTTACCCTTTCAAATATTTTCTTCTTTCTGTAGTGTTTTCACTTTAACTACTTTTATATATTCTCCTACATTACCATTAATGTATATTCTTAAAAAATTTTTGCATTTTGAACTTTTTTTTCATATAAATTTTATTCAAAAGTGTTTTTGAATTTTAAATTTAAATTGCTAGATATTTTTTAGTATTAAAATTTTTAAGCGCCTTCATTAAATAATAAAATAAAAAACAAAAAACGCTTTTTTTTAGTATAATCTGTTTTACATTTTTTTTTAATATTGTTGTTTTGTTTTTTATTTTTAATTGATAATATTGTATATTTATGTGATTATTGCTAAATGCTTTAAATATTTGCGATTTCAAATCAAAAATATGTTGTATATAGAGTTGTTAAATTTTTAAGTTTCTTTTGTGCTATTTGTTTCATAAAATAAATCTGTAAATTTTCAATTCCTTTATGATTCATATATGCTATATTCATGTTTCTTTTAATAAGAATTCAATTTAAAATACAATTTAAAACTAAAATGAAGACGTATACACCATTGGAAACTAAAGAATTTCTTAAAAATAAATGTTCCTTAATATTTATTTTTTCATATTAAATTAATATGAATTGAAAGTAATTTTATGGAATAATATTTATATTTTTCTAAATAACTTGCATCCTTAAATTATTTATTTCGATATTACATTTGTATTATCCTTATAAATTATTATTTGATATTTAATTGATTTTGAATATGAAAGAAAAACTACACATGTTTTAAGTATATATACAAATGATTTATTAATTTGTGCTTTAAATTTTTAATTTTAAATTTATCATTTCCCTCAGCACCTTACATAAATGCTATAGCTTCACTTTTCGTTTTTCAATAGTGTCATTAATAATTAATTATAATATTACAATCAATATATTTTTAATTCCTTTCAATATTAAAATTATAATTAAAATTATTACTAAACCATAAATAATAATTAAAATCTTTTTCATATTCGATTATATTGAAAAGTACTGACTACAATTCTGTAATAATTTTTTTTTTATTTAATATTTTATCAAATTTTAAATTGCAAAAATTATATTTGAGTAGTAATTTACGTTATTAATAAACAGTTTATTTTTTAAATTCAACTAAAATATTAAGTGTAGATGTTAAACAAATTTAATGTTTAAAAAGTAGTAAAAATCAATGTAAATTGTATATGCTATGCACATATCGGGAACAAATATTTTATATTTACGAAAAAAAATTCAACAACTCGAAAATACGATATTAAATGAAACAATTTTGATTTCTATTAGCTTAATTAGAAATTTGTTAATTTACAATGAGTGTTTAAAATTCCAACATAGATTATAATAGGTATGGAATATAGTTTGTTATTTAAGAGAGAAGAAATAATCTAATAAATTCAGCTAAATAAAATCTGTGTGCGATTTATTTTTTTTAGAATTTCTCTTCTATCATTTAAAAAATATTTTAAATTTATGCTCTAAACTAATCTACTTTCTCTCATTCTTTCTATTTTCTATTAAAATTGAAAATTATAATTAAAATTTTCACTATTTTCTTTTTTATTTTTTTTGCAATTTTTTTTTTCTTTTTGTTAACTTTAAAACATTTTGTTCATTTCTTCGATCAAATTTACAAAAAAAAAAAAACCCAAACCTGCTCTTTATTTTCATATAATTTTTTAATTTAATTTTGAAAAAAAAAATTATAAAAATTAATATATCGTATAAAAAAAAAAATACAAAAACAACAAAAAAAAATTATATTAAAAAAATAAAGGACGTGCAGTATCAATGACACGTTTGGATCAATTGGCTCAACCAGTTCGACGTAATGGTGAACATATTAGAGCGATAATTGAACGTGAAAGAATACAACAACTTGAAAATGAAATGAATATGAATTCAGTAAATAATTCCCCATCAAAAAGCATGTCTCGTAGTATGACGCACTTGAGTGGAAATAATAATAATAATAACAAACAAAATAATCATTACAATTATATAAATAGTAATAATAATCATAAAAATGGATTACGTTCATTAAGTAAAAATGATTCTAGTAAAAGTATGACTCAATTAGCAACACGTGCTATTTCATCTACTAAAAAATTCCTTAATCGTTTCACAAAATCTGATAAAAAGGATGATGCACAGACAAATAATATAAATAATAATATTAATAGTAATAATTTATCGCAATCAGGTGTGTTTTTTGTTGTTGTTGTTTATTTTATTTATTTTAATTTTATATTTATAATTTTGATTTTTATTTTTCATAATATAATGATTTTCATAAAGATTTCTTGCACATCCATTATATACACCTTCCTTAAAAACAAAAATATTTTTATTAAAGATTTTATATTTTGGTTTTGTTTTATTTTTTATTTGTTTTGTTTTTTATTATTAATTTATTTTTACATTTTCATATTTATTTCGATATTCAATTTTTTTTTGCTTTCTTTCATTAAATTAATGCTTATTGGAAATTGATTTGTTTTTTTTTTTTAATTACTCAAAAAGGTATGGAAAATTGTGTTCCAAGTTTTGGTAAAATTAGTAAAATAGGAAAATTCACCACACAATTTAATTACATAAAACTCAAAATTCGAAAAATTTAATTAAATACACAAATATTTTATTTATTAATTTTTTTTATATTTAAATTAATTCACATAATTAATATGGTGTAAAGCAAAAAATTTTAAAAGGGGTTTTTTATACACTATGTGAAAATGGATAAGGTTAAATTACATGCTTATTTAAAAATATAGACTCTTCATGGAAAATTTTAAGAGCGGTCTTCATTAAAATTGTGTACAATTTTTTTTTTTTTAAATAATAATATTAAAATTTTATAAGTTAATTTAAGCGTTTCATTTGTTTGAAGCATTGAAATGAAGCTTTTTTAATACATTTCATATTATACTTGGTTAGCTTTAACATTACATTTCGAAATTCTGATTAAACCAGTTCAAAATATCATTTAGTATCTAATTAATTATTTATAAATAATATTAAATATTTAAAATAAATAATACATTTTAATAAATGCTCTTTTTAATGTTTTTATATGCTTGCCAAAATAATTACTTAAAATTGTTTATGTTTTTTATTACTAGAACAAATTTTTCTGCTTTTCATATTAAATATATTATACGCTTAAAATTTGAAAAAATAAAAAACAAAGTCTGTCAAAAATGACTTTAAGTTCATGTAACTAGGAACGTGTTGAACTGTGAACATGATTTCCGCATACAAAAAAAGTTTTGTCTACTCATGAGAGTCTGAGCTGTTTTTTGTCAGAATTTACAAACATCTGTCAATAGATAACGCATTAAAAAACCGTAGATTTTTGTTATTTAAATTAGATTAAATACAAATTTAAGAACAATCCTACTTTAATAGAAGTAAGTTATAATAGCATAAGCGTATTGGGGTTCGCGTTTAAAAAAATAATCAACTTGTTGGTTTCATAGGTAATAATATTCCGTAAAACATCTCTTGAAGAATAACCTATGAGTAAAATTTAGGACTACCTTCTAATCATTTGAAACTTGGACTTCTAGAGCCTAAATAAAACCAATATTTTAAATTCCTAAAGTTTCCCCAAATTCCTAAAATTTGAATTTCGGTACTATATTATTTATCTAGATTTTTTCAGTTTAGTTAAAAAAAATTCGCCCACGTTTTCAAAGAAGTACGGACGTACAATAAACATCGTTAGGCCATAATTTTTAAATTAAATCATTATTAATCATTTTATTACGAATAGAATTGTTCAAATTAAACAAAAATGTTACAATAAATATTCTTAAAATTTCTCGTTCTTACGAGACAAGAGCAGGACAAATTAATGTTAAACTTAAAACTAGGATACAATTTTTTTTATCAGGAAGAAAATTAAACCACCAAAACATATCTTGTGAATATAAAAAAAATATGTTTTTTCAAGAAAAATTTTAAGACGATATAACATTAAAATATAACATGTGTATATACATAAAAGATGTATAATATGTATTTTACCTGTCGACGTATTATATAATTATCTATGATTTCAACATAATAGTTTAAACGTGATGCTTGCACTATGATCAAAAAAACTTCACAATGCAAGATTAAAAGTACAATCAATATAAATTCAAATCCCGTTAGCTGCGAATATAAAATCATACTTTTGATTTAAAATAACTAATAAAATAATACTATAAATAATTGTACACAATTCCTATTTAAAGTTTAAGCTCAATAAGTGTTTTGAACGTAATATTACATTTAACACTATAATATTATACACACATTTTTACTAACCTTTTGGTAAGCAGATGCCCATTAAGTGACATTCAATTACAGAATACTTGTGTTTAGTCTACTCAGTTCTACTTTTCACAACAAAAAAAAAAAAAAAAACATTATTTTAATTTTTTTTTGTTAAGACAAATATTGCATATTAACCTCACTTGCATATTAAAAACTAATTAGCTCTTAACAAATTCTTACATACAATAACTGTTTCAAATTCTTTTCAAATATTTTTAGAAAAATAATTAACCAATAAAAAATAAATTTTATAAATTTAATTGTGGTATGGTGCACGTTTTTATTTGTTTTATTTTTTTTATAATTTATTTTCTTTGATCCCAAAAATAATTCTAAAAATTCACTTTTGCACGTCTTTTATATCTATATATTGATTTTTTAATTTTATAATTATATAAACTATATATACATATATATATATATATATTGTATATGTATAATATATAAAAATATATATATATATAGATTATATATTTGTGTATTTATATATTAAAAAATCTTTTAAAATTTATTTCGAAAAAACCTTACTAAATTTAATTTAATAATTATTAATTTCCCTAATATATGAATCAAAAATACAGACTTTAAATAATTGTCCATTATATGAATAATAATTTAGGATCGAGGTCTGGAGATGTTACACCAGGTGGTAGTGTTAATCCGTCAAGACCGGGAAGTGCAATGTCTACATCAACTACAACATCAACTTTAGTACAGAGAAGATCAATGCCAACACCTAGAAAACCACGTCCAGCTAGTATAGCAGGTACTGGAGTAACAGGTGTCTTAAATGATGGTAACTACATGTACAATAAATATGTACATTAAAAATATTTTAAAATATGTATTTTTGTAGAACACAAAAAAGAGAAAAAAGATAAACCGCCAATTCCAAAAACCCAAAATATGACGCCCAAACGGACAAGTTTAAGTAATTCAAGTTCGATTACTAAATTATCTTCATCCGCCGAGAAAAAAACCACGCCAATTAAAAAGGTAATTAGAGCTATTTGAAAACATTTTAATGAAAAAACATTTTAAAATATTATTTTCAAATCTTATTAGGAACATGCTGCTTCACCCAAACCAACTGCAGTTAACTCTAAAACTGCAACCCCAGCTAAAACGGCTCTGTCAAATAATCAAACACCGATAAAATCAGCTTCAGCTAAAAAAGCACATGCTGTGCCAGCTCAACAACAACAACAACAAGAAATACCGTCAGAAAAACAATATGAAGTAACAGTAAAGGAAATTGTCCAAGATAACCAAAAACAAGAGGAGTTAATACAAAAGGAAATTCAACAGCATCAACCTAACTTAGAAATCCAGTCAAAGGCAGAAAAAGATGCTATAAATATTGAAAAAATTGATACAATTGAAATTGTCGAAATTGTACCAAATATTGATGAAAACACAACTACGACTGTTGAAATTACCAACACTGAAGCCGGTTTTGAAACAATTGTTAACGGTAACTCATCCGAAATTGTTGCTAATGTTACAAATGCTGTTATAAAAGAATATGATAATTCAAATGTAAACGAGGAAATTGAATCCATCGACGAGAAAGTGGATCAAGATACAGAAAAAGATGATAAGGTCCGTGAAATGTCCATAGAACGCCAGCAACAACTTCAAACTCAAGAAAATGAAATGACGGCTTCAATGATTGCACGAAAAATTACAACTGAAGAAGAAGCTAAAGCTGCTTTGGCTGAGAGACGTCGTTTAGCTAGAGAAGAAGCTGAAAGACAAGCTGAGTTAGAAAGACAACGGATTGAAGCTGAAAGACAAGCAGAACTAAAACGTATAGCTGAAGAAGAAGAGAAACAACGACAATTTGAAGAAGAAGCTACACGTTTAGCTGAAGAGCAACGTAGGGCGGAAGAGGAACGATTACAACAAGCTATTGAAGTAATTTTTAAAACATTTTTTACGTACATTTGTAACATAAAATTTTTTAACATAAATATATTTGTTTACATATAATTTAGGAAGCTCGCAAGCGGGAGGAAGAAGAACGTCTTAAACGCGAAGAAGAAGAAAAACTAAAGGCTGAAAGAGAAGAAAGTGAAAGAAAGGCAAAAGAAGAAGCAGAGAAACAGAGACTCGAGGTAGCTGAACGATTGAAACGTGAAGAAAAAGAACGTGAAGAAAGACGAAAACGAGTTGAAGCAATTATGTCACGTACAAGAAAAACTGGCGGTGGAGCAACACCAAATTCTACACCAACCAAGGTAAAATATATTTTAAACGAACCCTTTAAATACTTAAAACCCCATTTTATTATCATTTTATATCATTCTTATATTAAATCAAGGAAAATAATGGTGAGTCAAAAGTAGAAAACAGAACGACTGAAGAAAAGGTAGCTAATAATAATATTAATGAAAACGATCAAAAACAAGAATTGCAAGAGGAACAAAAATCTGAATCACAACAGAAACAAGAATATCAAGAGCCACAATCGCAACAACAATCTCAGGTGCAATCGCCTAGTACAGAAATTGAAAATCATACATCAACAACAATGTCCGAAAAAAATGGTAGTATAACAACAAATAGTAATACTAGTGATGTTACAAGTAGTAGTGATAATAATGTAATAGTTGATACAGTAACAACAGAAACAACAACTACAATGGTGGTTCCAGAATTAGATAACAATGCAGATATTACTACAAAGTTAACTGTAACAACAACATCAACAACAGTAAATGATAATAATAAAACTCAAGCGCAGACAACATATGAACAGTCAGTTACTGATAAAGAAAATGCCTTAATTAAAAATTTTTCAAATATGATAATTGATCAACAACAAAATGTTAAAAATTTACAGCAAAATCTAATACAAAATATGCAAAATAATCCATTTGCTGAAGTAACAAATGGTACAACTACTACAACAACAAATAACGAATTAATATCACAGACAATTGCCAATGGTAATGGTCATATTGAAAATATGAATAATAAAAAGTAAGTTAAAGATTATTAAAATTATTAATCAAAAATTTTATTTTATAAATAACAAAAATTTAAACATTTGAAAAGAAAAATTAAATTTTAGTAATTTAGCCTTAAATGTTTGAATGTTTCTTGAAATATGATTGATTCCTGCTTTTCAAAAATAAAATTATCCAATTTTACAAGCATATGTTTTAATATTTTTTTTATATAATTAATTTAATTTCTTTTAAAGTGATGTAAAATCATTAATAGATGTTACAAGTGATCAATTAATTGACTTCGCCAGTGAGTCACAACAAATTTCAAATGATGCTGTTAATTTTAATAATAATAATTTGTTGACTTCTTCAACAACGCTAGTCACAGCAGATAGTCATGAAAATAAAGGTAAATAATGATTTATATAATATGTAATTATAAATTTAAAAAAAAATATATTTACATACTAAATTTTATTTGAATAATTTTATAATTTTACATTTGTTACAGAGATTTCGTTGTTGTGAGTCTACGATAATATGGAACCAACTAGGATTGTATTTTAAATCATAAATTAATATAAATGCATCAAAAGCTATACGTATAAATATATAAACAAAATGAGTAAAATATTTAATTTAAATTAAAATAAAATAATAATTTCAAAGAAAAGAAATCGTAAAGATATATACTTAAGTACTAAATAATCCAAGCTACATTTAATAAATACTGATACAACATCAACTATTAAATTATGAAATTTGTTTTGAAGCTTGAAAAAAGAAAACACTAGAAAATTTAATAAAGATGAAGAAATTTATTTTTTTCAATTATCTCTTTTAATTTATTTTTTAGTCCAAATCAGATGAAAATGTCAAGAAATTGATTAAAATTTATTGAACAAAGTCGGAAAGAGTAAAACAAAAATATTTCTGCATACTAAACAAAAACAAAATATAATATATTAGTAGATAAAAAAAAATAATATAAAATAAATTAATAAAAAAAGTAAACAAATTGAATAAAATTCAAAAAAAAAAAACAATTCTTTTTAATTATTATATATTATTGTTTATTATTTTTTTTTAATAGTTAGAACTTATATAGGTATATAAATAAAAATTTATTAAATTAAAAGTTAAATAAAAAAATTAAAATAAATAATAAATAACATTTATATTTGTGTAACTGTATTTCATTTACAAAATCTTAAATGTTTTTATGTGAAAAGAAAAAATATTAAAACAAGATAAAATTAAATGAAGATTAATTATTAAAGATGAAACTCAGCAAGGGTCATAACAAGGATTCAAAACGAAATACTATAAAAAGGTTCATTACTATGAATACACTTAACGTGTAATTTTTGTTTGCTTCAATTTTGTTCAAAAATTTTACTAAAAGCTTTTTCAAAATAACAATAATATTCTGTTGTGAAGGAAAATCAAATTTTTTTTTTATTTAAAAGAAATTAAAAATTATAATTAATAAAAAGGATTTAAATTTAAAACAAATTTTTGTTTCTTAAAATTATTTATTAATTCCTTAAATAATATGATTAGCTACTAAATAGAAATATATATTACATATTATATTATGTAGATCCTAGGAAAATAATATTTTATGGTGGTATTTTTGTATGAGAAACAAGATAATATATAATGAAAATATTTGAAAAATTGTGTATATATACCTACATATTATATATATTTGAAAAATTAAAAGTTAAAAAAAAAACAAAGATTAGGAAAAGATAATATTTAAATTGATACACGGGCATTCAGCACAAATATATACCATATATATTATTTTAATGTATATTGTAAAATTATTTGTCGTAACTATTACAACAAAACTAAAACATAAGGATTACAAAGAAAAAAATTCATAATTAAAACAAAATTTAATAAAAAAACATTATAAATCAAATACAATTGCACGCTATATATATATAAATATATCAAATTATAATAAGATTAAATATTATGAAACCAATTTTCCCAAAAGAGTATTTATTTTAAAGATCATCAAGAAAAAAAAAAGAATAAATTTATTCCCACTAAAATTTAACATTGAAAATTCATAACGTTACAGAACTAGTTTTTTTATTAAAACTAACAAATCTGAATTAAATTAAACGAATACATAATAGATTTTCTTTTATTTTTTGAATACGTAACATTTTTTTTTTTATTTATTATTATAAAATTGCTGGCGATCAGTTGATAAATTGATTAATTATAAATTCTTGGACTTTCATAATACATTTAATTACTTAAAAACAGAAAAACTTTTTAAAGGTAATAGTAAAGAGTATAAAATACGTATTCATCTCAGTTAAAAATAAAAAAAGAAATAATTTTGGTAATTAAGTTTTCAATTTAAAATAAATATAGAAAGAGTATTGTCTTTAAAGCTTTGAACCTACTTATAAAAAAAATTAAAAATTAATGATTAAAGTTTTTTTTTTGATGAATTTTAAAATAATCTTATGATCAGCGAATACATTAAATTAAAAATATAATAAAATTCATATTGTATAACTAAAAAAATTAAATACGACATAACTAAAAACAATTCATACTACATACAATACTTGTTATTTATCCTTAATATACTTCAATAAACACATTCATTTATTAATATTTATACAATTAATTGACATAAATTGAAAAAATAATAAAGTTTTTTTTTACTTCAACAAGAAAAGGAAATGAAAAATAAATGAATATAAAGAACAAAATATGAAAAGAAATATTTAGAAAAAAATATATTTGTCATCAAGAAAAACTAAATAAGAGTAAAAGTAAATTAGAGAAATTTTCAAATCGCTTTTCTTAAAAAAAAAAAACAAACAAAATAAATAAATAAAATATCCTTTTATTATTATGTATACATATATGCATATATAAACATTATATGTTAAACAAATAGTAAAATATTCAATTACTTACCTATATATAATTAAACTTTTTTTATTGATTAATGTAATTTTTTTGTATTTATATTTATTTTTTTCTTTTCTAACCTAATTCCTTAAAATATTTTAATTTGAGTAGTTTAAAAAAAAAATACAGTGTCTTAAAATATACATATATATACATGCCTAAATGTAAATTAATTTAAATATGTAACACATCTCCTGAAATTAGGATTTTAGGTATTAGTAGAATATGTAATAATTTAATTAGAATAATTTTTAATGTATATTAGATATTAGATTGTAAATGTTGAATTATAAATTTGTATTTAAAATTGATATAAATTATATTTTAATAAGAATAAATTAAAATTGAGTTTAATTTCTTTTATATTTAATTAAGAATTAATAAGAAAATTTCAGTAAAACTTAAGACGAATGATTTGATTATTTTTCAGTTTATTCAATTGTTTTATAGATTGTAAAAATTTTTAAACCTTTTTCATTTGAGGTAATTATTTTAAATGATTTTCTAAAATTTGTTTTCAAATTATTTCATATTCTACTTAATATCTCCAACCTTAGTTTTTTCAATATATATAACGTATATGTTTATATATGTATATAAAGTATATATATTAATATACACATTCATATATATTTATTACAATGAATACAATAGAAATTTAAATTACTTTTAAATACTACGGAAATTAATTTTTAATTTAAAATTTAAATTTGATCTGTTTATTTAAATAATGTAATTAATATATATAAATGAAATAATTTTATTTCAAAAATTTATTTTGTGAATTTTATTATTCATATAATCAAATTATTATCATATATTATATAGTTTCTAATTTTATAGAAAACTCTATTCATTCTTTTAATTAAAATTATTTCGCTTTTAATTTCCGTTTCTTTAATATTATAGTATTTAAAGGTAATATCTGATTTCTATTCAGTTATGTTTAAATACATATTGCCGTATAAAATATTTATTTGAATTTTGTTACATTTGTTTTATTACATTTACACTTAAATGAAAAATGCTATAATTATTCTATTATTAATTTTATTTAAATCAAATCAATAATATTAAAAATATAATATAACAATCTTCATTTAATCAAAATTAAATTAATTATTAAATTTGAAAAATTGTATTATTCTAAATTGTTTATTATATTATATAAGTTATATTATTATATTATTGTAATACTACTATGTTTCTACAATTCAATAAAATTAAAAATGAAATAGATTAAAGTGTAAAAGTATATTGTCGAATGAAATTAAAAACATTAAAAAAAATATATAAAATAAAATAAAAAATTATGAAAATTAATTAAAATAATTAATAAAAACTTTAAAAAAAAGCAAATAAAATATTTAATATAGGAAAAGACATTGTTAGTAACTTTTTTTAATTTGTATTATTGAAAAATAAAAACCAATCCTATTTTCAAAATTTAAAAATATATATTAAAAGAAAATCAAAAATATTTAATGATTAATAAAATAATTATTAAAAACTCATGTAAAACATTTTTTTTTCATTTTACTTTATATTTTCTTTTGTCCTTTGTTGTACCCTGCAAATTGGTTCAGAATTGATTATGAATGAAATTGAATTTCATTTAAAAAACATTAAATAGAAGCATTAATGATTTAATAATTGCGTCTGGTCGAAAACTGGTGATGAATTAGTACATGATTTTTAATAATGATACACAAAAATTAGTTTTACGGATTTGAAAAAAGGTAGATTAATAGCTTTCAGTTAAATTGGCATATTTTATTCATATTAAATATTGTGTTTTTAATTGCCACTCATAAAAAAAAAATCCAAATGTTTATTGTTTCTCTTAATGTAGAAGAAATTCTCCTAAAATCATAACCCCTCTTTATCATTTTCATAATTTTTTAAAAATCATATTTAATGAGAAAATTATAAGCTCAATCTAATTCAAATAATAGTTGAATAATTATATACGTATATAATTTCTTTCAAAATTAAGTGCAAGTCAATTTGGTTATTTGTGTTGGGAAAACTTGTGCTTCGAACATTTTTTCATTGAACACAAAAAAAAATCTTACGAACTTTTAATTAAAATTCTTAGAGGACAAAAATTCTTGAGGGGAAAATTTATGTAAACTTGGTGTTATTTAATAATTATGCTATTCTAATTGATACTTTTTACAAAATTTGAAGTCCATGTGTACTAATATAAAAAGAACTTTTCACGGTGCTGACATGCTTCTCCGTCCATTTAAACAAATCATCAGCATTTTTCTTATAAGCCCTCTAAATGTGATGAAAATTTTATAAAGGTTATTTGGATATTAAGGCTACTTTTTTTTATTGAAGATGTTACATAGATAATTTTATACTGATTTAAAAACCATAATAATAAACTTTTATAATAAAGAGCGCCCATAATTCTACGTAAATAAACTCATCTTGAAGTAATAAGGAGTATAAAAGTTCTATTTAACTTACTTTTTTAAAAATGAATAATTAAATCGAAAATGTTTTAATTTATAGAGACAAAATAATTAAAAACATTTTTAAATTAACTGTTTTTAAGTAATTTATAAAAACTACATGATTTTGCAATTGCTTCAATACTGGTCTTAGATAAAAATACTGATTATCATTCTAATTATTTTCCGTATTCAGTTTTCAGAAGAAAAACTGTTCAGATAAATTTTTTCAGTGTCATCAATTTGACCAATTTCATATTAAAACTAAATATATACGTAATATAAGTATTAATTAAAAATTAAATATTTGTTATATAGTTATTAGATGTCAAGTTATTATACCTAATACAATAAAATAGTAATCCTGCAAATAAATAATGAGATTTATTTGAAATAAGCATGAATTAATGTTGAAATATTATAAATATTTTAGTAATTTTAAATTTATATTAAAATTAATTTTTTAAACACTTGTAAATGATAATTTTTATATTATTGATAAAATTGATTATTATTATTATTTATTCATAATTTTACAATGTAGTGAATTCTTTATAGGCAAAACTGTCCTTTAAAATATTTGGGTAATGAATGTCCAAGAGGTTCGAAATAATATGTATTTGCAACTAAGCGAGTGAAATAGTTGCAGTTCCAAAATCATACAATGGCAATTAACTAAATTTTGATAATTGCTTGTCAATCACAAGTTATGGATTTATTCAAATTGATAATAAAATTTCATTTAATAATATGGTTATTGGTCAGCAATATGAACAAACTATATGAATGATTTTGTAGATAGAAAAATATAACAATTAACTAAAAAATATTGAAGTAAAACTAAAAAGATATTTTAATTTAATTTATGTTCCAAAAAAACATTTAAAAACTCATTATAATTTTATAACACAAATAAAAATTTTTCTAATTTATTCAATTACTTTTTTATTTTTAAATAAATATTGAAGCATCGGAGGATTGAATCTCTTAAACAAAAAAATATCATAATTTTTAGTGCCTTTACTTTTTGAAAAAATTTTAAAATCAAAATTTTTAATTAATTTTTCTATTTTAATTAATATTTAAATATTGTTATAAAATAATTAATTAAAATTAAAATTAATTAATTTAAAAAAAATTTCTTAGATGTTTTGACACACAATTAATATTTTATTTTAAATGTCCTTGAATGTGTTATATAATTTAAACAATAAATTTGTTGTAATGAATGATTTTTTGAGTTAATTTAATTTATAAATAAATACAATAAAACTAAGAAGTTTCAAGAACAGAAAGTTGTATGCTGAATAAAGTTTTGTATACTAAATAAAATAAATAATTTTACAAGATTAAGAACAATTTGAAAATAAAATCTCTTAATAGAGAAAAATAAGATCATTACACTAAAATAAATCAAAGCAGAATATTAAACAGAAAATTTATATTAATAAATATAATTTAATTTTAAAGAATATAAGAAAAAAACTGTCTCAATAAAAGATCTTCATTAAAAATATCCTTACTAAATAAAAAATATAAAAAATTTTAAATGAAAAAAGTTAAAATTGTATTTAAATGAGAAATAAGATTAACATTATGTAATACTGAAACATTAAAAAATTATAATATCATTTTATGCTTTGAATAAAATGCATTATTATGAAAATTAAAATTTAAAAAATCTTTTTTTTCCATTTTGGTGTTTTGTTTGTGTTCACCATGTGGGCTAGAACATTTTCAAAAGTTTAATAAGAGTTGAATGATAATTAAGGGGGTTTTCGTTTATGCACACTGCGCTGAAAATTCTACATTAGAACTAAAACTTCTAAACCGCAGCGTTAAGCAGTATGCAAAAACTTCAGCTAAGTTTTTTTTAGTGTAGACTGCAAATTCTGAAACTTCTTAATAATCAGTCGTTCGAAAATAACAAAAATGACGTTGTTTATGAAATAGTACCGCAATACTTTTCGCCCTCCAATTCATTGCAAAATATGGAAATTTTAAACTTAAAGAAAACTTACTTTAATAATCTTTCAATATCTGAATCTGCCATTTTGAAATTAAATTTTTTCTGGAGGCCGCGACTAGAAGTCTGAAATTTAAACTAGAAGTCTGCGCTACATTTCTGACATTTCTTTATTGCAGATTGAATTTCCGAATGCACTTTATTGCAGCCAGTAATTTCCGAACGATCTATATTTTTAGTATACGTAGCGTGAATTTTCGAACGTGCTACAAACTAGAACTATTCTAGAACTGAATAAACGAAAATCCCCTAACTGAAATTATACTAATAAATGCGTTCATTGTCTTGGAAAATAAAAATCCGAATAATGTTTTTGTAAAAAATTGGATGTAGTTCTGAAATAAAGCTTCAGTTGCTTGCTTCCTGGGCGCTGACAAATTTCGCATTTGACTGTAGAATTTAAACTTTCGCATTTGACTGTAGAATATTAAAAAGAATACTTACCTGGTTTTGGCAAATGGAATTAGGGTACGAAAGTGGGCAATCAGTTTTCAATTTAAAAAAATACATAATATTACTCTTTCCGGTTCTTTCAAACATAATATACTGTTTTTAAATGAAGAGGGTTTATTTCCTTTGTGCCGATATTACCAATTTATTAATTTGCTTTAATGGACACATTTTATTATAAATGACGATATTTAATTAAAAAGTTTAATTTATGAAATAAATAAAATTACAATAGTTTATTTTTTAAATAATTTTTATTTAAATATATATCTTTATGCATTAATTTATTTTTTTTTGATAAATTTCTATGCGTCTTTTACTTTCTCTTCTCTTCTTTTTTTTTAAGTATTCGCGTTAATACAATTATTTTTTTAGTTTTACCTTTTCTTTTTTAAATAACAATATTTTAACTCCTTTAGTTACTATTCTTAATAGTTTCATTATTCAAAATCTATATTTACCATTCATAAAAATTTTTTGTTGTTTATTTTTATTTTGTAGTTTTGCATTAGTATTAAAATTATCATTTTCCTTTTATTTAAGAGTTAAATTTAAGTTTTTATTCATTTCTAAATAGTTTTGATTTTTTTTTCTATTTTCTATATCTTATAGAGAATAATGTAATGAAAATATATTTCAAATATTTTATTTTAACTTTATTTTAATTTAATAAAAGTTTTTTTCACTTTTCTTGCTTAAAGTTATTATCGTAGAAGAACAATAAAATGTTTATCAGTACATAGATGATATTTAAATACAATAATATATATAAAAATTACAACATAAATTTAATGATTTACATATTGTGAAAATTGAAATTATTACATACTCTATACATACAGTACATAACAAAAAAAATTTTTAAATTTTATATTTATATATATAAAAAAGAATTTTTTAATTTATTTTGATTTCTAATCTTAAAAATGAAAATTTTAATTTAATTAATAATATTATGTTTTGACTTTATTATTAAAACTTTTAGAAGCCGGCTAAAAAGAAAATTATAAAATATTATTTTCATAAATATTTGTTATTGATTTAATATTATTAAATGTTTACCAGAACAAACACTTTTTTAGGCATAGATCTTTGAACAAGCTCTGATAAAATATTTTTGTGTGTATCATCTTTACTGGGATCCGCTTGAGTATTATATTCTAAATTAAGCTCAGGTAAAGTTTGCCAACCAACTTTTAATGGATACAAATTAAAAACTAATTCTTTTTCTGAATGCGCAAATACAGAGATATTAAGCTAAAAAAATATTTCATAAAAAATTATTAGCTTATAAAAGGATATATTATTGTTTTACTTGTATAAATTACCTGCTTGTGACCAGAACACATGAAATTATCATTATTACTTAATGTTGCTATTAAAGGAATAACTTTTGTTGTTGGATTTTTAAAAACAATTTTAAATGGCATTGGAATTTTGACAAAAATTTTTTCTTCAATAGAACAATATAAATTTAAAGGTGGCTCATCTATATCAATACCATTTATTAAAAATTTTGATTCATTTTCTTCTTTCGAACCACTACGTCTCCATTTAATACAATATAAACCAAATATAGGGAAAACGCCAGGGTTTTCATTTAATAAAACACTTTTTATGAATCCTCTTAAATGACCTGCTGGTTGTATTGCTTCAAGTGCTTTTTGATAAATAATACGATTTGTAGATTTTTCATCTTCAAGAGTACTATTTATATTGCTGTTATTATTATTACTATTATTGTTATTATTGTTGTTGACACTAATATTATTATTGTTATTATTATTTGATTTTAATTTTCCATCATCTGAGTTCAATGAAGTATTCATTGGCGAATTTTGATTAATATTTGAACCATTACCAATTATTGTCATATTTTGAGGAATTTTCATTATAGAATTTTTATTTTGAATTGTATTGGCAATAGCATCCAACTTAAATGGATTATTTTGATTTAATTTATTTATTTGTATTGGATTTGAACTTATTTTACTTAATTCGAAATCTTTTTGTGTTAACCAATTTGAAAAATTTGAATTAGTTCTAAGAACAATTACATCTTCTAAAGTTTCTGAACGATTATATGTTCTTGTAGATTTTTTCCGTTTATAACTATAAGTTGATTGAACTAAATTGGGATCCTACAAATATTCAAGATTTAGTTAAGCGAATTGTGTAAAATAAATTGTTATATAATTTTAAGCACATAGAAAATGGCTTGTACTTACACATATAAAGTATGTTTCTAAAATATCCAAATCACATAGAGATTGCACTTCAACATTGGCTCGAAATAAAAAATTTTCACCGCGATAAATCTTAGATAAAGGTTGTCGGTTTAATGAATAATAACGTCCAATAAATTTAAATTCAGGAATACAATTTATTTTTATGGTTTCATCACGAGTTTTCTTAATAGTTTTATCATCCAAAAAATCAATTCTTATGTGTGTTGCTATTAGAGATTTATTTAAAAATTCACTGGATATTTGCCGATAATTATTACCATTAGGTGATTCATCATTAATTGTTGGCGAACATTCAGATGTTGTTCGTTTGATACGATTCGAATCTAAACTATACCAAATTTTCTTTGACAATTCAATATTTGAACATTCTATTAAACTAAATACAAAAAATGTAACTTTTGTATTACTTTGCATTGTCATATCACCAACATCAATTTGAATTGAAGGAAGAATTTTTTGTCTCGACGGCGATACATCAGTAGAAAGGAAAACTAAAATAGAACCAAGAAATAAATTTGTTTTAATATATATAGCAAAAAAATGAAATATAAGTTACCTTTATTTTTTAAATTTTGCGGAACCGAAATACTAACTCCAACATTTTTTAAAAATAAATTAAAATTGTTTGTTATATTGCATGTTATTTTGAAATACTCATTTATGAGCATTTGAGGATAACCTAATTCTACTTGTGTTAATAAATGGAATCTAAAAAATAAGATTTTCTGTAATTAAAAATACAAGAAAAAAAAAAATTAAAATATTTACGTTGGAGTTATATAACATATCGGATTTATGCGCATATTATCAATTAATAATTTATAACGATTATATTGTTTAAAGTTCCTTTGTATTATCTTAGAGCTCTTCATTAAAATTGCATAGTTACGATCAGTTCCCATATGAATTTCAGTTTTCAGAAATTGTAATTGGCAATTTTCAAAAAACTGATTTGCCTCTGTGCTAAAAAGTATACTATAATATTTATCCGGAAATAATTTTAAATCATGTTGTGCATCAAAATCACAATAACCATTTAATGGTTCTGATATTATTTCTTGGGATTCTTTTGGTCTTAATTCTTTAAGATCGTTAAAAATACAATACTTTAATGCTTTCAATTTGAAAGACTCATTGCCGTCAGTTAAATACAAAATAAAGTTACGAACTTTTAATGGAACATCAGTTAAAATTCTAAAATAAAAATAATAATTTTACATTAAATGAAAATTTTTCATTCCTTAAATTTTATTGTTAGTTATCATCACCTCATCACAAAATTAATATTGACTCTTTCGTCATTGTTTAGTTGAATTTTTTCAAAAGTAGCGTAACCTTCAATAATATCAGTAATACGTTCTAGATCAATTTTAGTTGGAGATTTATATGTTGCCAAAGATTGCTCCCAATTTGCACGCAATTCTGGAGTTATCATACTTTGAGGTCCTGGAGGAACATTCTAAAATTTAAATATTTTCAATTTTATTTTGACTTTCTAAAAAAAATTTAAAACTTATACCTGAAATACTTTCCATAAATTCTCTAATAAAGTTATTCGTTCTTTTTGATCATATCTTATAGTCGGTGACAGGGCTTCAATACTACATGATATAAAATCCGCTACTGATGCTGATAAATAAGCACATCTCAAAGTCTTTAACAAAACATCTGAAAAAACTGAATTCCACTTCTCTTGGCGATAATCCGACAACATTAAAGAATATAATCTAAAATCAAAACCATGTTTCAAAGGACATTAATATTTTAATTATAATATTTACGTCAAAGCATTAGAATGATCACCACTTTTGAAATATTCTTCTGCCATATCAATAGAAAGTTTTTTGCAAAATCTTAAACATTTGTATGTTTTAAACTGAGTACGAGCCTGACTTAATAAAGATATAATTGCAGCCTGACAAGAAAAATCAAAAATTACAAATCAAACAATTTTAAATTAGAAAATATGTAAAATATTTACAGAGTGATTAAAACCACGTTCAAGATCTTGAACCATTGAAATCATTTGTTGATCTGAGTATGGTTCTGTGGTTTTAAAGGTTCTCATACCAAAAAATTCAGTAAATATTGCAGATTGATGATTATTTTGTTGTGAAGTGGGCGTTAACGGTTCAGTTGGCGATAATGAAAGAGCTGCAATTATTCGAAATATTAGTTTTAATAAAAATAACTACAAATAACTCACAACAAGATTGTAAAAAAGCTTCTTTTCTCTTAATTATATATTCGGCAGCCTTGTGGTAATATATTCCAGGATGTTGAGTTTGAAGAGCAGGAAGATCATTTTTTATTGCTTCGCAAAATAGATCAGCAAACGAGCTATGCCTATAACCGAAATTATTAAAAAAATTTTAAATAATCTGTATTATTAAGTAACAATTAAATCTTACTGTATGCTTAACCATGCATAATGCTCAAACAATAATTCTTTAAAACCAACTCGACTTTTATATTTTTCTACATGACTAATAAAATGATTTATGGAATCTCTTGGAATTTTCATTTTAAACATGAGTCGACAAATCTTATAATTTAAAAATCCAGCTACAGTTTTAATTTCTAAACAATTTGTATCGACTATTCTAATTTCATCTAAATTTGAATATGCTTGTGAATAATGCCTAAAATTTATATAAATATGTATATATTATATATTTTTAATTATTGAATTATATAAAATGAAATTAAAATAATGAATAATTACTTTAAAGCCGCATTACTATCTGATCTCATTTCCGATATAAAACCTAATTTGAATTGATGACGAATTTTTAAAATTACGTGTGATGCAGTTAACTGTTCTCTGTGCATTCGAATATGCTTAATCATCTGCATATAATATGCTTGAGCCATTTCTAAAAATGCGGATTCTAAACGAAGAGTATATCCAGTTAAATGATCTGTATGTGGCAGGATAAATAACATTTTACTACTAATACCACAAGCTGTTGCTAAACTAGCAGCTCTTTCCGAGGCAATTAAATCATCGCCTGTCTGTATTGGAGCTGCTTTTTGTATTAAAACTAATGATAAACGTGTATTTCTATCCTAAGAACAACCAAAAAAAAATAAATAAAAAAAAGCAATTATTTTTTGAAAGGAAAAAAATATGTCCTTGATTTACTTGTATACTGTGCTTTAAAGTTTGTATTAATGAGGCACATTGTAATTGCTTTTCAGACCAATCTGAATCATTCCATTCAATATCTTGAAATAATACTATTACAGCTGGTATTACATGCAAATGTTTTAGCATCCAATTTCTTTTTAAAATACCTTTAGGATGATACCATTCATAGCTAGCTCTTTTTGGTTTAACAATAGGAAATTCATAATTTGATGGAATTACTTTAAATTGAACAGCAGCACTTAAATCATAAAAAAAAATCATTTATTTAAAAACTAATTTAATTATAATTATTTTGAATATATTTTATTTAAAATACCCATTAGTTTTCCTATTATTATTAAATGCATCCCATATTGATTTATGTACAGAATTTTTTATAATATCTAAACCACAAAAACCTATTAAAGGTTGCGGGGGAACTAGAAGTTCACTAGGTAGAGCAGTTGTATCCATTTAATATATATATTATATATAGAATTAAATGAATACTGAAAATTAATTCAAATTAAGAAATTATTTTCAGAAAATAAAATAAAATAAAATAGAGATTACAACCCTCGCACCTGAAGATAATAATGATGACATTTTAAATATGTCATTTAAAAAAAACGTCATCTATTGGTAGTGTCAATATGCAGCGCTAATTTTGGTTAAGTGAAATAAAATTGAAATAAAAATATATCAAGTCATTTGAGTGAATAATTGAGTGGTTTTTTTTTTAATTTTTACTTATATTATTTCGTGCAGATGACTCTGTACAAAATCAAAAAGTAATTGTACATTATAATTATTACATATGTGATAATAGACCTTTTCATAAATGCAAGTATATTGCGGTACATAGCTAAAACTGTGCTATATATGTGTTTACAAACAAAAATTACTTATCCAATTAGTTTATAAACATTCCCCACTAACGCGAACAAATGAGGAGACTCACATAATTTTCTTCCGGTAGGAGGATATAGTATTTCTAGTCTGCAATAGATAGATTTTGTGTATTCAGAGTTGTTATTTCATATTTTTTTTAATACAAATATCAAATGTTCTTTTTAAATAAATTGACATTCGAACAATAAAAAAGAATAGCTAAATGAAACAAAAATGGTTTTAACAAAAAACTTAAAGTTATGAATGCGGTATAAAAAATAGTTTTTGCTGTTTACAAACTATTAAATTTAATTTAATTTAAAAATATTATTTCCATTCTTTTACATAGATGACTCTGAAATATAATAAAAGTGTAAATTTATTCATTAGATTATCAAAGACACAAATTTAAATTAAATATTTTGGGCGTCAATCGCGACATCTTATTGATTTTACAATAAACGATTAAAAAAAATTCTATATAACTAAAAGTAGTCAAGTTTCACTCCATTTAGTATTGCTGGTGGTCGGTTGAACGATTAAACAACGTCGTGGACGGAAATAGATTTATTGTGCCTAGCTAGAGCATAAAATTTTATGATTATTTGAATCTTTCATTTCAAACTTTTTTTATAAATAAATTCTAAATGATTTTGGAATACTTTTTCTATTTAAAGCATTACATCCTTACAAATGCATGAATTAGAGTAAGAAAACTCTATGTTCTTTAAATTAAATATTCCAGAACTTAAGTATATTCTTATTCTTTTACTCTTATGTTTTAAAAAGGGCCGGATTACGAAAAATAAAAGTAAAGTACAACAACAAAACTTAAGAAGGACGAAAAACATAATAAAAAAAAAATTTTTTTTTTTTACTACATACAAAAATCAATTTCTTTCGTCTTCTCCCGCTAAAAAGTGCACGTACACACAAAATACATGTGTACAAAATAGAATCGTTAAATTTATTTGTTTATAAACTAAAAAAAATTTTTGAAGGTTAGGGTTCATTTCTGATTGGTTTGAGGGGTCGAATTTGTAAGCAAAAAAATAAAATTTTTTTTTTGTTATTTTTTTTTTTCTATGCAGTAAAAATAATATTTTTTATTATTCACTTTTATTCGTTATTCGGTTCCTTTAATATAATGGCAGACGAGCGGGCGGGTCGGCTATATTAAGTGAAAATAGTTAAAATTTTAGTTTATTATCATGACTAATGGATTCATGATCATTTTTATGAATTTGTGATTGTATTGTACAATTGTTTTTCCACTAAAAAGTACAATTGCTTTAAATATTTATAATATTTAGAAGAAATTGCCCTTGAGTACGTTTATGTAGGGGGAACGGAATGCAATATGTATAATATGGGGGTGTTGATTTTGAATGATATTGAATTAAAAAATATGGCAAAATATGACAGAAACTGAAAGAATGCGTTTGAATCAAATTTTTTTAAATATAGGGTAAATAAGTCACACATATGGTGTATTAAAATGGCTTTAAGATTATAGATGAAAATGAGGTATCAAATCATTTCTGGCAATTAGAGTAAGAGAAATTAAGAAATAAATTTCAAGTATAATTGAGGAGCATTTCTTCTTGAAAAATTTTCTTAATTTTTCTGTAGATATAGATTGTCTAAGCCGCCTATATTAAATATTAAGACCTTTTTAATATGAAATTTTTTAAACAACAAAAGTAGAGACAAATCAGAAAGAGTATTTGTAATAATCAGTTCACTTCTTAGAATTTAAATAAATAAATTAATAAAAATATTCTTTTGGAGAAATTCCAAATTTTGTGTGAACTTGTAAAATTATATACGCTTGCTTCTTAATAGTCTGAGTCAGTGTTTATAGTTTCCAAACAGACTAAAGGGATTTTCGCATTTGCAAGCCTGCTTTTCTTCTCAATTATGAGAGTTTATGAGACAGATGACATCAGTTACAAGTTCTACTTAAAAATATTATCAATATGACTTTATTTTACCCAGCATATTGTAGCAGATAATATGAAAGCGTGTGACAAAATTAAATTATATATTCGACTTTGAATGAGAAATTGTAAATTTAATTGAAAAAATTAGGACATAATTAAATTCTGCATCAGATTTTCTTAAAGACTAATTTGAAATTAGCATAACGCAGAATCAATTACAAAATTAAATATCAAATTTACTAAAACTTTTGGCACAATCACTTTTTGAATGAGCAAAAATGAGCCTATTAACTTCATCCAGTCATGTCGATCGTTTGCCCATCTGACCATCAAGAGCGACTATGAGGTTCAATAGCGACATTCTGTATTGTATTTACATGATGTATATTTATACCAATACGGTTTAATGTCTCATATCTAACCGTATTGCTATATAACATTGTATAGACCTTAAAAAAATTTAAATGTATAGGGATAATTTTCGCAGGTTACAGGTGACTTACAGGAACTTAAAGTCAATTTTGCCTGCTTTTTTTAATTTTTAAAATTTTAAATATAACATTGTTCAAGGGTCAGATTTCATTCCGTTCCATATATATTGCAAATTCTCCTGGCCATCAATATTTGCAAATGTGTTAAGGAAACGTGGTTGGTAAGTTGAATATTTGCACATAACAGAAGAGAAACAACATTTTGAATGATTGTCGTAAATCTTTTTAAGTCATTGAAGAAAAAAGCTTTGTATAAAAAACTCGAAGTATTATTATTAAAAATTAACAAGGTTTGCAGAGCTTTTAATATTAGGGAGACCTGCAATGTTAAGTCACATAAAATTGATTAATTAAATTTTTTTAAAATGATAAGTGACAAATTAAATTTTTTCAAAATTTTAAATTATTTGATTCCGAAACTTGAACAGATTATGAATAATGTAGATGTTAACGAGAAAGCTCGTTCTCGAGAAAGTTTGGAAATTATTTGACACAGGACCGTAGTTAGTATAGACTTAAAATCTCAAGAAGTACAAAAAAACAGACGAGATTGACTTTAAGAACCTGGTGAACTTATTCAATGGTATAAGCTGGTTTACTCAATGGTATGTTACATTGCATTTAGATACAAGACACCCTATATATTATAACGTAAAGCTTACGCATATTTCAAAGGATATTAACACTTTCATATTATACGAGACTCCCATTCAAATGTACTTAAATTTATTTACACAAATTTTATTATTTTATTAAAAATAAATAAATATTAAAATAAATAAAAATAAAAATAATATTAACAGCTTTTAGAAACTAGTAAAATAAGGAAACAAAAAAAATTATAATATCCTTTTATTTTTGTTCTTTTGGTTTTTCATTTTTGATATTGTTTGAAGAACAATTCATAATAAATATTTCGCGTTATAACCATTAAGAGATAGAAGAGAAAGTGAGCGATCTCTATTTAATTTATTGTTATATACGCACATATACCTTCGCACATTAAATTCTTTAATAATTTGTGTATATTACTAAATATAAGTGAGTAGGTGGGGATTCGGTGGGGGAATAGAGTCGGCTATGCATTTAATTGTATAGAAAATAATAGTTTTTAATAAAAAATAATTTTATAATTAAAGTATACCCATAATAAATGTATATGTATGTATAATATGTATAAAAAAATTTTATATCCTGATTTTACATCCTGATTTTATAAAATTTTTTTAAATAAAATGTGATATACTTATGTATGTATGTATACATATTATGAATGTGTCTGAATATTGAAATATTGTAATAAAAAATCTCGTCATTCTCATTTCTGATTATAATTGTAATTGTTTGTACAATCATTATGTACTCGTATATATACATATGTGAATGTGTGTATATATGAGTATATGAGCATTATAACTTTTTTTATTATGAAACTTTTGTAAATAATTATGAGTACTTGGATTTTTTTTATTACATTTTTACTTTTCCATTTTTTTTTTTTCATTGGTATATACTCTACACACATAAGTAGGTATACACGTGTATATAAGCTTTATAATAAATACATATTATATATTGTGCGTTACAAGCAAATGTTGAAATTAAAGTGAATATATTTGAAATATTTACAGTTAAAAGAGAGTGATTCGATTAAATTCGCCATTGTCGAAGAACGTCATTTGTACACAATTTGCAAAAGTCATGAACTTCAACAATTGTCATGAATTTCAGTTTTTGTTGCTAAAGCAAGTAATTGTCATTATAATGTCATCTGTTGGGAATATAATAAGAGATATCATGTGATGGCACCGAACCTAGATGGAAATGCATTCCTTCACGATAAGAAAATCTAAATAAACTATTTGTAGCATAATGTTGATTTGTCAGTTTTTGATGAAAACTCAAAGCTTTAGAGTTTATTTTGGTTTTGTGACGGATTGATCAATTTTTTGAATACATATATGTCAGATCGCAGTAACTTTACATTTTTAGCAAATTGTGCATTAATATAACTTGAATAAACTTCGTCTGACAATTCGAGAAGCCACCTAACTTTCGGGAAAACTACTGGACTCTTACTGTGGATTAAATTTACATGTTTCCACATATGTATGTATAAGAGAAGCAATGAAATAAACAATCAACTTTCTTGAAATTTGAGTATACGTACATAATTTGATCTTTGATCCATTGATATAATTAATTTATTTTGCATAAATTTAGGAGAAAATTTTCGGCAAAATTATTTTCGAAAAATTTATGCT